CACCACACACACACACACACACACACACACACACACACCAGCCACCCCCAGTCCCAGCCCTCTTAATCAGACTCCCCACCTTAGGTCTGGGTCCTCCATCTCACCTGTGTCGCTTTCTTAGGGTGCAGCCATACCACGCATCATTCTAAGCCATGCCCACCAGCCAGCACCTCTCATTCCAGATTCTTGGGCAGCCTGGCCCTTCACACTGACCCCACCCCACTCTGTACCTCCCAGAGAATATGACCCCACTCCTGCCCCAGCTCATGGGGTCCACAGTTCCAGTCTGTCTTCCTCCCTCCATAACCCCAGAAAAACATGCAAAGTCCTGGTGTTCCCTAAGGAGTTTTATTGGTCATCACCACGGAAGGTCACACGGTCCTATGGAAGAACAGTCAGAACCTGCCACGAGTTTGTCCCAAGATCTCTGGATCCTGAGGCCTTCTCCTTGCCTGATCCCATCAGGCCCCATCGGTATCTCCTGGCTGACTGCCCCTCCGTTCCCAAGTCCAGCAGAGAGCTTTCGATGACTTCGCCCAGGAATGGCGGCACCAACTCCCCTGGAACACGGGCATCTCCCCCCGAGAGAGTCTGCTCCCCTCAAGGCTTCCCCTCTCTTCCTTTTCTTTTTTGAGTTGGAGTCTCACTCTGTTGCCCAGGCTGGAGTGCAGGGGCACGCTCACAGCTACCACAGCCTTGACCTGCTGGGCTCAGGGGATCTTTCCACCTCAGCCTTCCAAATAGCTGGAGCCACAGGCACGCACCACCACCACGCCCGGCTAATTCTTTGATTTACTGTAGAAACGAGATCTCGCCATGTTGCCCACACTGGTCTCCAACCTGAGTTCTCTTGCCTCCGCCTCCCAGAGTGCTGGGATGACAGGCGTGAGCCACCATGCCTGGCTCTCTTCCCCTCTCTATCATAGGGACCTCCGTGGAGGAAGCCAGGGACCATGGGCACTGGTACCCGAGGTGCAGGAGGGAACAGAAGACGCGCTGGCAAGTAGGAAGGCATCTAGCCACTGCCTGCTGTCCCGGCTCTCACCTTTCCCACAAATCCGGCTGCTCAGGGGCCTGCGGGAGCCATCACCCTCCCTCCCTTCATTCCGTTTGTCCTTGACTTTTTAAATGGCCACAGCAGAGTAAGCGAGCAGGCAGTGAAAAGCCAGTGGGGAATGTTACATCACGGAGCTATGTGGCTACACACAGAGACGCAGAGTCACAAGCCTAAGCGTGATGCCTGAGACACACAGATGCACTGGCTCAAAGGGCCGGGAGTAGGGTGGGGATCTGCTGCCCTGCATGCAGAGGGTGCACAGAGAGGGGTCTCTGGGGAGGCCGGGGGAGAGAAGCTGGCTGCCTGAGGCTTTCGGCCCCCTCCCTGCCCCTCCTCTGCCCACCCTGGACTCCCCAGGGAGCTGGAGTCACCACGGGGACTGGCTGCGGGTGCTGCTACACCGATAGTTCTTCCTGCTGAAAGAAAAAGGGCCAGGTCATGGGAAGGAAGACTTTGTGGCGCACGTGTCTTTTCTCTCGGTCTGATTCCAGAGAACCCAGGCTGCCACAGACCGAATGCTTGTGTGCTTCCAGGGGGCCTGGACAGACACGGTGGCTCATGCCTGTCATCCCAGCACTTTGGGAGGCTGAGGTGCTACAATAAATTTTTTAAATTAGCTGGTGTGGTAGTGCATGACTGTAGTTCCGGCTACTTGGAAGGCTGAGGCAGAAGGATTGTCTGAACCCAGCAGGTCGAGGCTGTGGTGGATATGAGCGTGCCACTACACTCCAGCCTGGACAACAGAGTGAGACTCCAACTCAAAAAAAAGAAGGTGGGGCCTGGACGGATGCGGTGGCTCACGCCAGTAATCCCAGCAGTTTGGGAGGCTGAGGCGAGTGGATAGCCTGAGCCCAAGGGTTCGAGGCCAGCCCGGGCAACTTGGTGAGACCTCGTCTCTACAATATATCGAAAAATTAGCCAGATGTGGTAGTGTGCACCTGTAGTTTTGGCTATTTGGAAGGCTGAGGCGGAAGAATCACTACAGCCTAGCATGTTAGGCTGTGGTGGCTGTGAGTGTGCCACTGCACTCCAGCCTGGGCAACAGAGTGAGACTCCAACTCAAAAAAAAGGTGGGACCTTTAGGAAGAGATCAGGTCATGAGGGTGGAGTCCTGGAGAATGGGATCAGTGCCCTTAATAAGGAGGGTTCCCAAACCAGGCATGGTGGCTCATGCCTGTAATCCTAGCATTTTGAGAGGCTGAGGGTGGAGGATTACTTGAGTCCCAGAGTTTGAGACCAGCCTGGGCAACAAAATGAGACCTTATCTCTACAAAAAGTAGAAAAATTAGTTGAGCCTGGGAGCGTGTGCCTGTAGTCCCAGCTACCAGGGAGGCTGAGGCAGGAGGATTGCTGGAGCCCAGGAGTTCGAGACTGCAGTGAGCTGTGATTGTGCCACTGCATTCCAGCCTGGGTGAAAGGGAAACCCTGTCTCAATAAAATAAAGTAAAATAAAAAATTTTAAAGAAGGAGAGTTCCCTTGTCCCCTTCCACCATGTAAGAACACAGTGAGGCCGGGCTCGGTGGCTCAGCCTGTAATCCCACGCCTTGGGAGGCCGAGGTGAGTGAATTGCCTGAGTCTGCGGGTTCGAGACCTGCCTGGGCAACTTGACAAGACCTCATCTCTACAATAAATTAAAAA